TAAAACCCTTATAAGTATTATTAAGGCTATTTAAAACCTAGGTAATTATAACCTTCTTAGATAGTTCTAGCTTATTATTAGCTAGATTATTAGTTAACTCCTTAACCTTAGCAAGGTATTCTTTAATAGTATTAAAATCCTCTAAAGAGGTATTAAAGAACTCTTTATAGGTTAAAAATTTATTAGTAAAACCCTTAAGTTTATATAAATTAGCTAGTTTTTTCTAAGCCTCTAGGGCTATAGAGGAGTCTTTTATAACCCTTAATAGCCTATTAAAGCAATATAGTTAGATATAGGCTAAAGCCTTATTATTATATTATTTATTCTCTTTAGTAAGTAGGTTTTAAAGGTTAATATTAATATCTTTAGAAATAAGAAAGGCTTAAATTCTAACTACCTAAGTAGTATAGTTAAGAGTACCCTTAAGGCAAAGAAGGTTTATCTTTAAATCTATTACTGTTAATATTACCTTTAGTAAAAGGCGTTAGTTAAATTAGTTAGGTTGTTAGGTTATTAAAGTAGCCTAAAAAGGCAGAGGCTATAGGTTTAATTCTTAAGAAAGTCGCTTTTTTAACCTCTTTCTAGGTCTTAAGAGCTAGGCTTATAACCTTTTAGAGGCAAAAGGAGTAAATAAGAGATAGGAGATAGGAGATAAGATATAAAGGTAGTATATTATTATAAATATAATAGAAGAGCTTATAGATCTAACTATCTAACTAGACCTAGGGATATAAGGGGATTACTTATACCTATATCTTAGGTATTCTAAGGATTTCTTTAGTATTCTAGGTTATTAAGTAGGTTATTAGGTAGGTTATTAGAATACAGGGTATTATTTTACCTATAGTAGGGTATTATTTTATCTATTTACCTTATATAACCTAGAACTATATTTTTAATTCCTTAGAGAAGGAGAAGGTCTTACTTAAAAGACCTATTCTTTATATATAAATATTATTATTATATAGTATATATAGCTGTTTTCTAAGTAGTTATTCTTATATCTAGTGTATACAGTGTATACAGTATTATTAATACTATATTATATATTCTACTTCTTTATTATATTATTATCTTATTTTTATATATATAAGGTCTTTAAACCTTAATATCTAATACCTTTTACTTATATAAAAGAAGTTATAGAAGTAATAATATAACCTATTAAGTAACTACTAGTAAAATTACTATACCTCTATTATACTACCTTTATTAACTACCTTTTTTTTAACTACTAGCTAGCTATAGCTAGATATATTTATAATAGTAGTAGTATTAGCTATAGTAACTGCTAATAGTTAGGTGTAATCTATTATAAAGTGCTACCTAAGGTTTTACTAAGTTAGATAACAGTTAGATATTATTATAGGCACCTTATAAAGGCCTTATAATAAAATAGGTAGCAGTAGGGCAGTTATCTAATATTTTTCCTCTTTTAGGCAATAGAAAAGTTATTTTTATTAAGGTATATATTAAAATAGCAAGGTTTCTTATAGATGAACTCTGCTAATAAAAAAGGGGCCTTTTTTGGCCTAGCGTAGCATTTATTTGGTTTCTGACTAATATTTCCCCTCACGTTATCCAAGTTGGCGCGTTATCCAACATTTCCGCCGTTGCCGATCAGGGCCTAGGACGCTGACACTGACATTAAGCTGTCGACACGACCTAGCTCTGATCGCCAACGGCGGCGAAGTTGGATAACAGCCCGTACCTCGAATAAGGAGTACTTACTGCTTATATAAGCGCATTAAGTTAAACCTTAGCTAGGCAAGATGTACCATACTATCCCTGTAACCCTAACCCTGATTTTTAAAAGTTAATAAAATACGTTTTTATTACACTTTTATAATATATAACCCTAACCCTTGCTTAGTCATCATTATATCCAAGTGTTGGATAGCTTATGAGCACCTCGTGAGGACCTCATAACGAAATGGGTGGCGGCAGGGCAGTTATCTGACATTTCCCCTCTTTTGGGCGGCAGAAAAGTCATTCTTATTGAGGTACGTGTTGAAATGGCAAGGTTTCTCATGGGCGAACTCTGCTGATGAAAAAGGGGCCTTTTTTGGCCTAGCGCTGCATTTATTCGGTTTCTGACTAATATTTCCCCTCACGTTATCCAAGTTGGCGCGTTATCCAACATTCCCACCGTTGCCGATCAGGGCCCTAGTCCCTCAGCCTGTCCGCCATTTCACCACACTTTTGCCGACGCGCACGGGTGCGGCGGGGTGAGGGGAGAGACCAGCTGTGCCAAGCAAGACTGAACGTGCCGAGCTTGGCTCCGAGCTCATGCAGAAAACGCTGGCTGCATACCAAGGTCCTTCCCTCTCCAGACTCCAGGGTTCCAGGAATAAATGTCTGACGAAAAGGCAACATGAGAAAGAACGTGTAGCATGCAAAACGGATAGAGATCGGGTTGGGTGACGACAGGCGCCCGTCCCTGGTCAAGCGCCTGGTTGGATGATGGTTGGGTCTCGTCATGCGCCGGCCACGACAACCTTAAAGAACTAATGTCAGAAATTTCAACAATAAATGTCCAGAGTTTTCTCACATATTCTCCCCTAATCATCCCGATCCTTGGCCGGGAGGTGGTGGGCCTGTGATGTGGGGTTACTTCCCCGAGGGGATTCTTTACCCGACACGAACAAGGATTTTATGGGCGTGAGATAAAAAAAAAAAAAACCACGAAGTAGGGCGTGACGGGATGTGGTGGTGTATGTACCGTGCCAAAGCATTGATCCCACAAACCCTATTAACGAAGGCCTAAGGAGCAAAAAAGGGAAGGAAAAAAAAAAAAAAAAAAAAAAAGCAACCTGCCCCGTTAATCGTGGAGCACGGAGCGTGGAGGAGACTGGAGTCTGGAGCAAAGCTGGAGAAGGAAAAAGAAGAGGGGGAAAAACCAAAATCTTGGATTCATCTTGGGGAAAAAGCGCCATAGAAGCGCCGAGGCAGATAACCCCAAACCAGAGCCAACTTACCTAGAGGGAGGTGCTGTGCAGTGCGGTTGGTGCAAGGTGCGGCGCCGCCTGTCTCTCTTCTCTCCGGCCACTTTCTCGTGGCGCTGATTGGCTGCAACGCCTCTCCCTTTCTTCTCCTTTCCTTTCCTGTTGTGGTGTAGTGTACCTTGCCCGTACCCGCACGAGGTATCTCATTCGTCCACTACACGCCCCCAATCCAACAAAAAAGAAAAGAAGAAAAAACATGCCACCCCTCCCCTGTGCACACTCTTGGTAAGGAATTGGCAATGTCTCAGTTTGGCTTGCGAGGAGCCTCCCACGTCCACATCGACGTCCTTCTTCCTACTTTAGGTCTTCAGTGCGTCCAGTCAGCAAAGCAAAGCAAAGCAAGCAACCTGCCTCCGACCAACACCCCATGACACTGCTACGTTGCTGACTGTCAGATACAACACTGGCTGGCTGCGGCTGAACAGAGACACGACGCGGTGTCTCTGGAGTGTTTTGACTGACCCACCGGTACCTACCTACCTAAACACCTAATCACCTAACCTAGGTACCTACCTACTACTAGGGAGGTTGACACAGCTACGCCACGATTATAGCAAGCGGCTTTCTTGCCGGGGCAAGTGCTCCCTGGCCGAACCCTCTCTCGCCACTTCTGTCCTCCGGCAAGATAGTGGTTCGGTGTTACCTAGGTAGGTAGCCGACGATTGTTTTCGAGCACATGTCTCAAAGTAAGTAGCCGATGGTTTCTGTCGTGTTGTTCGTGCTTTCCTTCGTCACGGGTGCACATTCGTCCGTCTGCACGGATTCGGATCCCCGTGTTCTGGGCACCGCTTGACGATTGACGCCCTATCACATTCATGAGCCGACCACCGCATGCCAATTGGCATGCAGCCTCGAATTGGTTTCCCTGTCTCTACTCTGTCACCCGTCCCTATCCGCCGCCGCCGCCGCCGCCGCCACACTTCACCAACACCCGCTTGTCTTTTTTTTTTTTTTTTTTTTTTTTTCTTTGGTTTCCTCTGCCGGTCCAGCCCATCTTCTAGCTTTGGACGCATTCCAAACGACTCGTCTAGATCGAACGATCAGAGGCGAAGTTGATTAGGACCATTCCAACCTTACCAAAAACTGCTAGATCTGCCACTTCGCTAGGCCCAACTATCCCAACCCGCGTACATCCTATTCGTCCCATCTCATCCCGCACTTGTTTGCCCTCTGCTTCCCCAACTCCCCCCATCCTATCCGGCCTTACCCCAAATTCTCCATCACTCCTCCCCCAATCCCCAGGCCTCGGCACGGCACCCTAATGGGACAATGCTCGGTGCTACTTGATGCGCTAACTGCCTCCAGATCCCTCTAGACGCATCGTTCTTCTCTGGTGTCCGTTGTGGATCTGGACACCCACCCCGTCTCTGCGACACTCTGACCAACCGCCTCGAGGCAATCGTGGGGTCTCCAAGTAACCCAGCATCTCCAGCTTTCTGCTGCTGGTATCCAATCACCTTGTGCCTCTATCAAGACCTGTACTTGCTCGTCTGATTCCTGGGAACTCTCGGGGCTCTGCGCTCTATCCTCATGTCGCACCATCCGCTGGCTACTCTAGGTCGCCTCGTAGCACCTGTCTGCCTGCCTTGGTCTGCGCTGCTGTTAATGAATTCCGACAACGGCCCCCAGTCTTCAAACTGACCGCGCGTCTGTTGTTGTCTGGGTGGGGTGTCTTCGAGCCATCCTGGTCAGGCATCCGTACCTGGTGCTTACCCTTGTCTTTGACGGCCGTGATATCGGCCCGTCTTTGATGACGGCCCCATTCAACCATACCCGAAAGCGCGACTCATCGTTCCATGCCCTCGGCTTTCCGCCGAGTTTGGGATTGGTGTCGATTTCCCCAGCGTTCGCCCACGCCCCCGTGATTGTCTCTAGTTCTCCTCTTTGTTCTTCCCCATGGGCAGCTGGTTAAAACCACCGCGTTTTCGCCGACTGCATGATCTGTGACGCATCGTCTCGTTTCCACTTTTACGAACAAGCGTACAGACCGTCAAACCAGTGACCCGACAGGCTGTCACCGCGCAGCCCGTCACTCCACGGGGTCTCCGGACACGGGCACGAAGCTGGTCTCCGCTCGGATGGATGCATTGGTCGTCTTTGCAGTGTCATCCTCACCCAATCTCCACTGTGGAGAGGTCATCAGTAAACACCCCCTGTCATCCGTGGTGGACCACTCCAATAACAAAATAAAGAGTAGACACCCGAACTCTTTGCTAAAGCTAATGGACCTCCACACCATATCTTCATCACGTGGTGGTGTCTTGCCTCGGACCGGACTCCAGGTTCGCCTGCCGTCTCTCACTTTCAGCGCATCAACCCCCAGCGAACAAGCCATCCATACCCAGGTCATTCAGGGTTCCCGAGCGCCGTCCCATATTTTGGTGTTGGCTGATTCTCATGGCATCCTGCACCATCGTAGGCAGTGGTGTAGTCTGCTTAGGTCCGAGCCCCGCGACCCGTGTCCGGCCACGCCGCCAACGGACCTCGGAGCTCGGAGTCGTCACTGTGTTGTCACCAAATTTCTCGCTAACCAAGCTGGTAAGTAAACCTGATCCATATGGACTGATGTTGACTCGATGATGGCCAACTCCGGATTCGGTTCTCAGAAGTCTCTAACCATTTGACTCCGATGCGGATGTGATTTCCATTGTCGCCTCCAATACATCCCGACCGTTGACTATCCGATGCGCAACCAGTCATGCCGTCCGCTTGCGGGGTCGAGGTTTCTCTTTGCCTCGTTGACCGGCTCGACAACTGAGACAGCGTCGATCTGGGGAAACCGCCATCAAACCGCTGCCATGCGCCAAGACGATTTGCCCGGTTCGACAGTGGACCAGAGCAAACAAGCTACTGAGGATCGTGCCAACCCGGCCCGGTAGTGGCTTGTCACCTGCCAACTGGAAACGAACGATCAGCCACCCGACTCTCGTCCCAGCCATCAATGGCCGTGTCCCCGGGACGTCGGTAATTTTCTGCATTCAAGGCGCGCGACGCGATTCATTGAGTCGACATCTGCCGGTCGCACAGGCCTCTGGTCCAACAAGTTTGGCTCCGTGATATTGCCTCCAAGTTGATTGTTGAAATGCAGGCCGCATAACCACCCAATTAGAAGAGGGACAAGAGGTAGTTGCGCGCCAGTGTGCGCATGACCAGGCCTCAAACAAACTCCTCGCATTTATACGCAAACATTCATTGCCCAGACGCTTGTCTATCAGTAGTCACGCGCTTCTCAGTTCGCTTGTGTTTTAGAGTGCGGGGTCGTCAATGTCCGGCCGTAGGGCAAATTCTCCTTGAACTTTTGAGACAGAAAAAGTCCCGTTTCTGTGGGGAGATTCTCGCTCTACACATACGCGCACACACACGGTGACATGCCAACCCCATGACAGGTCCTTGATTGAGTTTCTTGGTTTTACAAATGCGGACATTTCGATTGTCTGATATACGCCAGATCAGCGCCAAGTTCATCAATGACCATTTGCAGTGTCTAGAGGTTAATGGGGGCGAATGGGCCCGAGGTTTTGAATTAGCCCAGTCGCAGCTTAAGTTGCGACTCTGTCGTCCTTTGCCTTAACTTCAACCTGCTTGGCATATAGTCTCTTATGTCAGTACTATATTATGTACCATGGATAGAAGTAGAGAAGTGTATTTCCGAGACTTGGCCGCGAATAGAGGACGTTACTTTCAACTTCATGACAAAAAGCCGTGTTGGATGAGAAAGCATCGCAGTTCGGAAGGCCGAAAAGCTATGAGGAATTATGGAACATTTTCCCAGTCTTAATCATCAAACATAAGATGTAGAAAAAAAATATAAGCCATAACTTGCGTACCCGGTGTCTTCAGGCCGTTGGGCAACGGGGAGCTGACGCCTCTGTTGCAAACATGGGGATGGCCTGGCTCGGTATAGTTTCCTGAATCAACGTGAGACGCGGCGTGCTCCCTTCCAAAGTGCCGCACTGAGGCTCGTGACCTTCGGCGGGAGCTTTCGGGAGGTCTTGTCTGCCAAAGCGCAAGGCTGGCCAGCTGGAGAACATGTCGTGCTGCGGTGGCACACGACCGCTTGTGACACTAGGGGACGGGCAAGCTTATTCGGACGGCTTTTGGGTGAAGAACCTCTGTCAACAATCGCACATTGCGCCGACTCCGATTGATTTGCTATTTTGTTGAGTCCGTCTGCTAACGTCACTAGAAAGCAGGCCCAACCAGGTCAGCTCATCGGGTTAGATTGTTTAGTTATGCTTAGTTATGCGAAGCGCATAGACTAAATGAATAGCAACCGTCGAGCCGACCGTAGCCGTGACAACATCACAATGGATGGTGCCGTTTCGATGAGAGCTTATACTATTGTGCCGGTAGATACAGGAGCTTTCAAGAATTCTTGAAGCCAGAGACTGGATGGGCGGCGCTGAGTAAGTACAAGGAGATAGGCGGTCTAGGATGAACCCTCCACCACATGTTTTCCGCGACATCACCTGCGCAATGATCAAAGCCGCTCGGAGATTTCCTCGTCATGCAACGATTGAATGCAAAAGCTAAGTGGACGACACCGGCGACGGGTCGCATTTGCGAGATGTCTTGGAAACGTCACCTTTGCCCAATTTCGACGACGTTTCTCCACTTGCAGGGATGCTTCATTTTTTCTTCCTTGTTATTTTTCCACCTTCTTCTTTTTGCAAACTTCGCCTCGCGGTCCTTCGTGACTATCGAAGAGTATTTACCGTCTAAAATGCTTCCAGTTGTAGGCGTACCCTTTTGGAGTTTCTGAAGAGCACGATTCGGGTTGCACCCAGCCTCCGGGACAAGGCGCGGCAAGGGCATGGAACTAAAGGTACGGAAGGCCGCCCATGAGCGCGCCGAAGAAGAGCTCCAAAGGCTACTGAGGAGGCTCCTGTTCCTGTCGAGGGTGGGGCCGGGTACGTGACGAGCGGCCGTTGCCCTCCGTTTCCTCAGCTTGCCCTTGCTGGTCCGGTAGGACCGCCTTCAGATCTTTTAGGCATTTATCTCCTTCGAAGACCAGTCCTGGCCTATGGCCATGCTGCCGAATTGCTAGCATATATGTACTATACATGATACATCTAGGTAAAGCCTCAGCGACTGGGGGGTGCAGAAGTGGTCCTTGGTTCCATTGATCAGTCCCGGAACAGGATATTAGTCCTTTCCCAAGATCGCGGCGACCCTCCGGAAATAAGTCGGTCAGGGAACAGGCAGGCGATATTTTCCCCTCCGCCTATATTTAGTCGCCCGGCCATCCCGTGAACTTCGTATTATGGCTAATCTTACAGTCCACAAGTTACGATCACGGGCCGTAGATCGTCGACGCACGAGCTCGATACGCCAAGTTGATCATATCTGGTGGCAGGTGAGCGAGTTCGAACGGCCCCCTAATCCTTATTGAGAAGTGATCCGTGGCTTAGAGCAACGCATTCCCTCAGTTTCTGGGAAGATGGGCTATTGCCCCGGCCTTCAGGCTGATGGTCGCGGGCCTCGCATAAGTGGCGTAGGAGCTTCATGGGGTCTCTGATCGACTTAGTGTAGGCCATTAGCCATTCACGTCTAGCTCGGCGCTTCTTTATCCCTTAGGCAGTGGTTTCTGGGTGGTGTTTGGCGATAGTTAAGAAGCTTTGGCCAGCTTGATATAGAACTGTGGTTGCTCTGCGTTATCGGGTATTCTATACTGTATTAAGGTATTGAGATATGGCACAGGTCAGAGGTATTACGTATCAGGGTTTTACGTACCACCATTCATGGGGGTTTAGAGTGAGTATATCCATCAATAGAACTGTGGAAGACTCAGGGCCACGTCGAAGTGGAAAGCCAAAATGCCACGAGTTCTTGAATGGGTAGCAATTTCTTGGGCCAGACACACAATATGGTACAGGCGGCCATCATATCTTCCTACTGTATTATAAAATATAACTACCTGATGTGGATGAACAGCACTTACAGTCGCCATGTAACTCTGGACTTTGTTCGAAAGTTGGCTTGCTCTATCTAAAAAGCCCCCCATCCCTGTCTGTTTAATCCATGCTTGGCCCCAGCATTCCAAGTTTCATGCTGTAAACAAGTAGGAGGGATTATAACGTGGGTTCTAGGAATAGCACTTACACAGGTGTTTTGGAGAACGGGAGTCACCGTCATTAGACATGATGTACTAGCAAAACATATACATTTGCATAATTATGTCACCAGAAGAAATCTCGACAAATGGTAATTACAGTACATTAAGACGGCGCCCAGCCATGTTGGATGCCGGATTAAGTTTTGAATCGAATGATGCCCCATGAAGCACCATAGAACCAAACAAGCCATGTAGACAACACAAAGGAGACGGCTTACGCGGCGAGTGCGAAACCACCTGTTCGCTTCTGGAACAGGCCCTCTGGATCGACGGAAGCCCGAACACTTTCGGCAAACTGCTTCTTCTCGGGCTTCAACCTTCCCCAGTAGTCCTGCCGGAAGTACCCGTCATTCATGAACAACGGTCTGTAGACATCAGGGAGCGTGCCGTCCGCGATGAACCCATCCACCCGCGACTTCATCCCGCTGTATAGGTCGACCATCGTCTCATCGATCGCGTTGTTGTCTCTCTGGAGGAGATAAGAGTAGTCAAACTCGAAGATTATTCTATCAACGTCGTCATCCAGGTCCAGAAGGTCGCCGCCGTTCTCCCTGGCGACACGGGCCAAAGACTTCGGGATTGGCTGGAAGGCGATGGAGGCAACTACACCGGCCACGCCCGGCCTCGCGGCCGACGTGTTATACCAGTGGTCGTAGTACGAGCGCATGACCTTGGCCCCGGCGGCAGCGGGAGGCAGCGGCGTCGTTTCCGTGGCGATAGTGTACACACTGCCTCTGAGGACGAAGAGGTTGTTGGCCTTGAGGTAATCTGCGTACGACCTCGTCTTGCAGCTGTTGATCGCTGGCTTGGCATTGAGGAACGCGTCAAAGGTTCCGCTCGGAGGCTCCGGCCCGTCGTAGAATAGGAAAAGAACCCAGAGGTTGACGCCGTTGAGGAGAGTCAACTCCGAGGTGGCGATGATAGCAGCTTTGGGATCGGTGTAGTTCTCGGTGAAATCCCGAATGGCTGTCAGGATCTCGTCCGTCTTGTCACCGTTCGAGAAAATTAGGTTGCCGCCCCATATCTATTTGCTCTGGTCAGTAATCACGGAATTTTGCCGAACAGCACGATGAGCGCTTACCTGGCCGATAGGATGGGCTCGCAAAACATAGTTCGTAACGATGCCGAATGCATTGCCACCACCTTTGATGGCAGCGAGCAGGTCCGGATTCGAGGTATTGGACGCTGTGACGATCGTTCCATTGGCTAGCACCATTTCAACCGAGACTATGTTGTTCGCTGCCCAACCGTACTGGGTACTGAGAAAGCTGAGGCCGCCTAGACAACACCGTAAAGTCAGCTCACTTCCGATTCGAACCGGTTTGGAGCCTTTGCGAGACTTACCTCCAAGTAGATAACCCCCCACGCCTACGTTTCCCATGCGGCCACCCACAACGGTGACGCCGGTTCCGTCAAGGGCAGTGTGGACATCCTCCCATCTGTTTCCTGGCCCGACACTGACCGTATTGGTAGAATTGTCGTATACTACTTGGTTCAGCTTCTTGG